ACCGCGTCTCCTCGCCGATTCAATTCCAAGAATTGCAGCAAACTCGCCGGGATTTGTGTTGTCGCTGCTCAAGACTTACGGCCATAAATTCAACGAGACTACAACTTCGCCCGTTCAGTAAACACTCCTAGTAAGCGCCGTGCAAATCCGAGGACTCGAGAAGGGATAAAGAAACCGGATAGCACATGGTGTGCACCTGCTTTACTTTGAGTTTTTCTCGAGGGAATATGCAGGAGGCCCGTTCGATTCGGGGGTCGGGTAATGATGGCCTGAGCAATATCTTTTTTGCCATCCACTCCTCCATGTATGTCCTCGCTAATTTGAATGTACAGATAGCAGGGCACGATCATCTCAATACGATTTCGCCTTCTCGCTGCTGTACATTTCCGTGCAAAATTCAACCTCATCCTACTTGCACTCGAAAACACTCCTGGTAAGTCCGCCTTATATGTAACCATCCAACAAGGGAGTAAGACACCCGATAGCACTTGGTGTGCGCCTGCTTTACTTGGTTTTCTCTCCTCGACATGTATGCAGGTGGCCCGTTCGATCCATCCTCTCCTTCCTCACTCATTTTCGGCCCACCGCAAGGAACCTTTGACGCGTGAACAACCTCTCGAATGGACTCCCGGTAACAGAATCCATGAAATTGCTCCACCGAAACCCGTTAAAGGTCCAACCTTGGTCCAACCGTTCAATCAGAATCGTTGTGGATTCGATTCTCGTATCTTACAGACCAACGACCGTGCGTTGCACAATTATGGGGCACCCAGTTCCCGCCCTTCCTTGGCCCAAGTGGGGCTCGGGTGTTACAAAGATTGAATTGAAAATTATTCTATTGTAGTATGTACTGCCAGAGCACGCAACGAGCACGCACCGCCGCACCTCCAATAACCCCAGGCGGACGCCGTCACACACATACCCGCCTTTACGTCCAGCGCATCGACTGCTTGTGCATGGACGGAGCGTCGCCCGCCTACACGGAGCGGATCCCGCACGGTTCAGTGTGGGCGGCAGGGCGGCGTGCACGCAAAGCGAGCAAGCAATGCGGCAGGGGTGAGGGGTATGCGCACCTTCTCCCAGCACGCCTGCACCCGTACGCCGCGGTCCAATGGCAAGCATACAGGTGGTAGTGCGCATGACGGCGAGGAAGAAGGCCGTGCATGCATGGGACCTCGCGACGCATCGCACGGGCGCGGGTCGTGCCGAGTTGTTCTCGCCGTTGTTGCGCACGCTCGTCTCCAGACTTGGCGGCGGGGCGCGATTCGGCCCTATGGCAGTGCGGCGAGGAGGTTTGAGAAACGATGGTCGCACCTTGACCACTTGGATAAGGCGAGCGCAGAGTCTCTGAACGGAGGGCTTCAATTCAGGCAATGGGTGTCGTGTATTGCGATGGCAGGCAATTGGCCGAGAGCAACGAGGGCCGCCCGCGGACTCGATACTGCCGTCCTGACATACACACGGAATCCCACCGTGTGCGATGTCGGTACGAGCGTCGAAGTAGATGGAGCGCTGAGCAGAATGCGAGAGGTGGGCTGAAAGTCTATGAGGATGCAATTAGTGCGCACCGTAAAATAGAGCGATACGTCTCTGTGCAGTTTGTTTCCCAGAAGAATCAGTCCACAAAGAGGGCGGCAAGAGGTCGCTGCGTACGCACCGGCCATGCTTTCCTACAGAGCCGATAATTCAGACATTTTGCCTGCAAATTGGATACGATGGTCTGCGCGCGGCTCGAGTCCATGATTTTAGGGTATGTATCTGCAATGCCCGGGTTCAGCTGAGTAGAGACATGACGTACAGCGAGTTATTGAACATTCCTGCGTACCAGTTACGAGTCCGGATCGTGAGCATGGCGAAAGTCGGCGGAAAGGTGAGATTCTGCGTCCAGCAAAAGTCACAAGCTCGTAGCGGTGATTTTGAGGGGAGTAAGTAATGGGAATTTTTGGACCAGAAACGTAACCGAGAGTCCCGCTACGCGTTGCGGTGCTGTTTCGGTGAGCCAACGATGAGGGAGGAAAGAGGAAACACGTCTTCTGCGCTGGCGAAAAGAAGCGCAAGAGATGCACGTGACATTGCTTACATGAGATCACATAAGCAAATCCTTACGCGATCCGACCCCCGCGGTAACAAACAGACTCTAACCTGCGAGGTACGAGCATCCGTGTTAGAGCGTCTGTCTACGAGAGACTACGTTCGATCCGGGTTCGGGTGATAGCAGAAACCAGTTCTTCTTTTTTGGCGCCTCCGTCCGTTCTCTCGCTGACTCAACTCAACAGATGGCAGCGAACGCTTCGCAATTTATGTTCTAGTTACTAATGAACTCACGCCATAAATTCAACCAACCTTGGCAAGTCCGTGTTGGACTCGAAAACACTTCTCGCAAGTGCGGCATATATTCACCCTTCAACAAGATAGACAGCCCCCCCGATAGCACATGGAGTGCAACTGCTTTACTTGATACGAATGAACAGTATGTGCAGGAGGCCCGTTCGATTTGGGGTCGGGTAATTCAGGAATTGGAAGTACTCCCTTTTCACTCTTCCACTCCTCCCGATATGCCATCGCTGGTTCAATTCCACAGATTGCAGCAAAATGCATCGTGATTTGTGTTCCAGCTGCTCAAGCCTTGTGCCATAGTTTGAACCACCCAAACCGCACTTCGCAAATTCCTTCTTGTAAGTGCAGTATAGATCCAACCCGCAAACAAGGTCAGCAACCACCCGATAGCACATGGTGTGCACCTACGTTGCTTATCTTGAAAATTGCCGCCATACATGGGAGTATGCAGGAAGCCCATTCGATCCGGGGTCGGGTGATAGTCGACGATTTCCGTCCTTTTTTTTTCATCCGCACCGTATGCAATGCCCTCGCTGATTTGGATGTACCGATAGCAGGGCAGGATCATCTCGAGTCTTTCACAAGACGTGTTTTTCAACCGCACTCACAAATCCAACCATGCATCGTACGCGGAAGATACATTGAACCATCCAACAAGGGAAGAGAACACCCGATAGCAGACGGCGTGCACCTGTGAAGCCTGAAAATTTGGAGAACATACACGCAGGAGCCCCGTTCGATCCGGGGTCGGGTGACGTTCAGACGGCTCGGAACGAGATCTTTTTCTTCATCCGTACCTCCATATATTCCCAGACTGATTCATAGCAGAACCATCCTCTCAGCTCGATCCTGCTTTCCCTCCGCTGCATTATAAATTCAACATTCAACCATGCATCACAAGACCCCGTCTTAACACTCCTGGTCGCGCCCGCATTGAATTCAAGCACACCCCGCAAATTCCCCCGTGAAAGCGCAGTATAAATTCGATTTTGCGGCAAGGGAGGAAGAAACCCGCTAGCACGTGGTGTGCGCCTGCACTTGGTTCTCCATGCAATCATCTCATATGCAGGAGGCCCGTTCGATCCAGGGTCGGGTGATGGGCAATTTGTACCACCGCCTGCCTTTTTCTTTAGACTTTTTCCTGCCCAGTCTTTCGTGCTGCTAGATCAAATTGCAGGCTCCCGACGCATCCAACTCAACTCAGCCTTGGGTCTTTCAATTGTTGGTTGAAAGTTTGTGAACCAGACACACGAATTCAACTACGTCGGATACGGCAAGAAGTGCAATATAAATTCAACCGTCCAACCGTCCAACCGTCCAACCGTCCAACCCTCCAACAAGAGAGAAACAAACCCGATAGCACATGGTGTGCGCCTGCTTTACTTGGAAGCGAAGGTAGGATATCAGTATGCAGGAGGCCCGTTCGATTCGGGGTCGGATGATATTTAGCTTCCCGATTCTTTTTTTGTGGCAGCTCGCTGAATACATGTGTCCTTGATGATTCAATCCCAAAGATGGCAGCGAAATTTTCGCGGTTTGCGTTGCCTCTGTTCAAAACCTTGGGTGCGAAAATCCTTCCGCTCCACCGTCAAGAACTTGAAAACATCGTTTGCAAGTCTCGCATAAATCCAACCACTCAACGAGGTATGAAGAAACCTGATAGCACATGGAGTGCGCTTGCTTTACTTAATTCTATCTCCTCTATATGTAAGCAGGAGGCCCGTTCGATTCGTGATGACCACACATGCAATATCTTTTTCTTCATCCACTCCTTCATATATTTCCTCGCTGATTCCAAATTCCAAGGATATACGCAACTCAAGTGTACCGTGCGTCCAAGTTTTCGAACCAACGCGCCCGCAAATTCAGCCACACCCCGCCGAATTGCTCCTTGTAAGTGCAGTATACAACCAACCCTCCAACGAGAGAGGAAGAAACTCGATAGCTCATGGTGTGCACCTGCTTTACCTGTCTTCGTACTCAAGATCACAGTACATGCAGGAGGCCCGTTCGATCCGGGGTCGGGTGATAAGAAATTATCTTCTTCTTTTTCCTCCGCACCGTATATGCCCTCGCTTATTCAACTCCACAGATAGCAGGGAACTATCCTCTCAGCTCGATCCTGCTTTCCCTCCACTGCGTTATAAATTCAACCATGCGTCACAAGACCAAGGGAGGAAGCCACTCGATAGCACATGGTGTGCGCCTGCTTCACTGAAAAATCCTTGAGGTGCGACAGTATGCAGGAGGCCCGTTCGATCTGGGGTCGGGGGATGAGATCAGAAAAAACGAGCGATTTTTTTTCTTGTCCGCACCTCCGTCGGTTTTCCTTGCTGATTGCAGAAACGACCTCGTAGTCAGTCCTGATTCTCTTTCCCCCCGCTCAACACCTCCATAGATTCACTCACGCTTCACAAGTCCCCCAACATCAACAATCCTTACATGTCCTGTCTAAATCCCGGCTTCCAGTAAAGTAGAATTCACTTGGTTTTTGGTTGAGGTATACGCGGGAGCCCCATTCGATCCGGGGCCAGATGATTTCCGCCCGTACTTCGTTATTCAATTTTTTTTTTTTTTGCAACCCCCACTGTGTATTCCCTTAATAATTGAATGTCACCAGAATCCCTTGCCGTCTCCAAGCAGAATTCCTTGGCCTCTCCCACGACCCCTTAGCTCAGTGGTAGAGCGTCGCATTCCAGCTGGCGGACAACCTCGCGAAGGCCGTCCGTTCAATCCGGGCAGGGGTCATAGTCGTTATATCCGTCGCCTTTTTGCTCTTCCGCCGCCATATGTTTTTGTCATGGTCGAACCCCGCTCCACAAGTATCCATTTAATTGTTCCGTAACCTCGTCACCCACCGCCGCCCGGCACCCCAGGGAACGTTTGGAAGCCGAACTATCTACGTAGGGCCACCGTGCTCTCTTGATCGCGTCGTCTGACGCGGCACGCAGAGTTGAGGAGCAGGAATACCAACCATTACAACTCTATTCTATCGCATATACATCTTAGATGCCGTCCAGCCGACGTACTCTCCCACGGTTCAACTGACTGACCTGAGGCTTGCTCTCCATAAGTTTCAGTTACTATACATCTCGCATCCATGATTGACGCTCGATAAAGCTTCACTTCAACACGTCTTTATGTGTTCACATGCAACAACCCAGCCCGCCCCAGTTAAATTTCGGGTTCGGATTCGGGGGCGCATAAATTCCGAGAATATCATAACCAAAAGCCACGGTCAAGTTGCAACCTCTATTCCCGCCTTTACGGTACATGTCATTCAACCATCCGATAGCACACTCTGTAGTATTTCGGCAATGTCCGGGCGCATTGTTCTTTGATGAAGGTGTGACAGTGTGACAGCCACCTTTTCATTTTTGCCACTCACCACGAAGCGACAAAGAACATGCAAGCCGATTCTACCGACACTTTTGCAGCTTTCCCCCCTGGAATCCACTCCCTTCCAACGGAACTCATCTGCCTAATCTTCTCTTTTACTCAAGCATTGTCCATCACGATCGCCATGACAAGAAGACTCGGAGACCTGTTCTCCACACCCTTGCGCTGGTCTGCGCGCAATGGCGTGATATAGGGTGGAATCTTCCAGATCTTTGGACCTATATCCATATCGCAGATTCCACGTCTGCCACCGTAAAAATGGTCGACGAATTCCTCCGGCGATCCAACGGCCCGCCACTGCATATTCTCTTGAATATCCCTCGGGTCAGTCGCGATTGGACAGCATTCCAGGACATCTTTCAGAAAATAATGGGCGCCTCCGACCGCTGGCAGTCGCTACGAATCAATACACCCACCGAGAATGTCGTAGCCATTGCACAGAACATCGAGTGCAAAGCGGCCCCACTACTCGAGTCACTCGATATTCATCTCGGTTGGGGAGAGAAATTTGTTCGCCAGCCAATGTTACATTTGGGGCCGACACCTTCTTTGACATCGCTTATCATCCATGGAATCGGATTGAAAATAGGTGATGTGTCTTCGTTTGTGGATAAACTCGAAGTCGTACAGGTTGCTACTCCGAGTCTTGTCTCCAAGCTCGCGGTTGCATTCGCATCTTAGAGCCAGGAGACACCTCGTCTTCGTCGTCTCGACCTCAGGTCCCATGTCCCACCCTTGAAAAGCAAACAAGGCGCTGCATTCAAGAAGTATGCAGCCTCGCTCACCTCACTCTCGCTGGGCTATGTCCGAGACCTCGGCCGCATCCCGTCCCTGATGCGTAGCCCGCTTCTCCAAGAGCTTTCCCTCCACAGCCTTGGCTACGACGCCTTTGATTCCTTTGTGGAGCGCCTCGAAAACGGGTCCTTCGTTTTCCCCGCACTCCACACTCTCACTCTTTCGGACGTTGCGGAAGGCAGCGTACGCAACACCTGGTACCTTCGCACCGCGTTTCCCGCGCTGGAGCGCCTCTTCCTCCACAATGTCGAGGCCATCCTATTCATAGACTTGCTGTCGAGGTCCGGGTCCCGCGAACTGTTCTGGCCGAGTCTGCACGCTCTTACGATTTACCCCGTTGACTACCGCGACCTCTGCCCCTTGGTTGATGTCCGAATTGAGGCGGGCTGTCCGCTGGCGACTTTGCAGATTATTTCCGCCGGCAGCGTGCACGGCAAGTCACTTTCGTGGTTGCAGAAACATGTTGCAGTGGTCAAGCAGTTGCCAAAATTTTTCGCCCACCCAGTGTACTATTAAATCTAATCATTTGATCGGGAATTATCACTCAAACTTGGTTGAATCCCACATACATACTTTCTAAATACCTATGTGTCGACCCGAACTGTCCCGCGAACACAATCACGCATCTCAGTATTCAGTCTCATTCAAACTACATCAGGGTTGAAATGCTCGCGCAAGTTGAAAATCCCAGCAGGACATCCGATAGCAAATTCTGTAAACCTGTTCATCGTGGATGTGTTCATCATGTTCTGTGATGCATGAGGGGCACCCGTTCGTTCCGTGGTCGGACGATGGCCGGGATCGCCTACTGTGACCATTTTTATCTGCTTTCAGAGCTCGCACAGTGTTGAGTTGACTGTCTTTTTTCAAACGTAATTTTGGCCACCCGACAGCACATTTACATAGGGTTCCACCGTATCCCCGAGCTCGTTGACAAAGAAAGCTCAGCCAACGATCCAGTGGCGGCCGCAACAGAAGGGGGGCGGCTGTGGGGAGGCCGAGAAAGTCCGGGCGACGCTATACAACAGAAAGTGTGCGGGGAGAAGGGAAAGCAGAACGAAATTCGAAACAGCGTCGAGCGACATACTCTGCCTCACGGATTGTGAAAGGGTCGGTATTGTTGATTGGTTGCACACGTTATGTTGAATTTCGGCCATCTCGGGAAAGGGTTGAAGTTTTGTTGGATCCCGACTCAAGGTAGATGTGTCTACTGCAATTTTTTCCCGGGTCTGCAGAGCTAATGCGCCTCATATGTTGGAGAAGATAGAGGTATTGCGGATTTGTTGCTGACGTTGTCTTGACTTTCGGGCATCTCGGGCACGTCTCGACACCCCGATGCAGCGGCAAATGAGAGTTGAGATTTGATTGAACTCCGGCCCAAGCTGAGAGCGTATCCCAGATTTGCGGCCTTTTTATTTAGCTATTAAGAGGAATCCCCGGCCTTTTGCTCACCACTGAAGGTCATTAATTGGACTGTAACACACCGACAACTTCAACCTCGCTCGCCATACGGTAAATGCAGTATAATTGAACCACCCCAGCACCCAATAGGCCCTGGCAAATAAATTCAATTTCCGCCCATAAGAAAAGTTCAACCACAAAGGTTCAGGAAGTTCGACGTGGATTCAACCACCCGCCAATCGGCCCCACCCAGCAGAAAGGACGAACACCGAGTGAACCACGGTGTGCAGCTGCGCGTTCTGCTGATTTGGGGTTAGGTGATAATCAGTGATCATGGACGTCCTTTTGTCGCTAAGTTGGTTTGTACATGTATTGTACTTTTCGTCCCGCCGAGGCCGGAGTGACGAATGTTGAAATAGGCCTGTCACGCGTCCCCGTTAGTCTCTCATCATCCCCCCCTCTCTGTCTGCTACTGCGCGATCCCTATCACTTCGTATATCTTCTGCCTGACTCCCTATGTACGTTAGCTCTTTATCCCCCGTCGCACCTGTACCCCTCGTATCGTTCATCAGCAAATCCTGATTTGGCTTGTAGTGGGCTGTAGTGGCTGTAGTGGACCGGGTCTCCATAGTGCTCCATAGTGCGCCCGGGATTCCAAAGTGCTATGTAGTACTATGGAATGGGTGGTCACTACAGAGTGTTGGGCGCTCGCTATGGAGTACTACAGAGTGTCGGGCTCGCTATGTAGTACTACAGATCGTCGGACCCAGAATTTGGCCACGACGATTCCGCGCCATTCAATCTAATGCTTATTCCTTTCAATCTTTTTTGTTCCATACAAGATAATCTGTGTTATTATGGTCTTATTTCTTCTGACATTCAATGTATACTACTTCAAAGCCTCAACAACGTCGTCGTTCGGAGATTCAAAAAATTGGCTACAGAAAAGTAAGTCCACTGCATTATTGGCTGACCGGGCAGCGTACCGTTTTACGCCCGACAACCCGAGCCAACCAAGGACCCTTCGGACAATGCGGTCAATGTGGGCCAAGCTGCCCACCGAGGAGAAGGCGACAAATTCACGGTGGTAGACACCGCAGCCCGGGCAACACCTAATAACCTTCCTCCCGCCTGCCCTCGCGAGTTCCAAGTGAACGAGGCGCTCTGAGGAAGAGCAAGCGGATCAAAAAGAGTTAGAGTGGGAGGTAGACAGAAAAGACGTACCCGCCAAGTAACGTCGTGGAACGTCGTACGTCCACGCCCAAACGGTGGTCTGCCTGCGGTCGCAGGCCTCATATTCACAGCAACGCCGGGTTATCGAGTTCGTATGCCCAACCTTCGCGTCCAACTTGGCCACCGCTTTGAATTCCGCAGGTCCGAGCTGGTTTGTGCGGAGCTTGTGAATGGCGTCGTCTGGGACACGGGCGTTCAGGTACAACTTGCCCCGGCCCTCGTTTCGGTAGAGCCTCGCATGTTGTTTGGCCAGCAGGGCCGCAATTTGCTCGTCGTACGTCCGTAAGCGTCGACTGAGAGGGTCAGTTCAAGAAATCGTCATTTTGCAGATACGCGTACATGGACGCTAGTGAGTTGCGTCTCAACGCACGAAGGGTTTGAAGAACAGGCGCTGGGCGGCTGCGGATGCGACCCATACTGCCGAGCTGGTTCAGTTCGGCGATGTTGCGCGGGGCGAGCTCGAGGGTGACGGGAAGGCAGGTGACCGGCGCCTAAACGGCGCCCTTAACACGGCGGGTGTTTCCCAAGGCACGACCTTGTAACACTTGCGCTCGCCGTGCCAGCTTCGCAACAGGGTCCAACCAGGAATCCTGAAAAAAGAAAAGAACCTGAAAAAAGAAAAGACCATTGATCTGTATGGAAAGAGCCGATGGTTGGAGGAGCTGCTGGTTGGCGGAGTTACTCGTTAAGCAGTAGGTCACTCTTCTCCTCTCCTCTCCCTTTTCTTTCGCCCACCAAAGAATCCCCAGCCCAAATGCAAAATATTGCTCGCATCCCAGTCGAACTTGCGCATTGTAGACAGGGCTCTGATCCGATCGGACTTATCGGATCGGGCCATTTGCCAGATTAATTCCGCGCCCGCCCGCGCTGCGCTATCGCATCCAACACCTACTATACGCCCTCAATGTTGCCGCCCGCCG